GGGCAGAGCACATTCTGTACAACGTGGGACACTCGATGTATTTATGAGGCAAGCAAACACTGCCCAGGCCCCATGGAGAGCTGCTGCATGCCTATAATCACAGCTCTCTCAGAGGCTGAGGCAGGAAGACTACAATTTCAACTTCCCTGGGCAACTCAGTGGGACATACAAACATAAATGAAAAGGGCTGGGGAAATGGCTCTCACTGCCAAGGCCCAGGGTTCACTCCTTACACAATGATGCAAAAATTAAATTTTAAAAAATAAAGTGAAATATAAAGATGCAATTAAGCTCCCGTGGTGATTTATTTCTTCCCGGTGCTGCTGTGCTGCATGAGTTTCTGCAGTTGCCCTGGACACTGCCCTTTTCCTGGGGCAAGGGACCTGCTCCGCAGACTTTCAAGCCCATGGGCCTAAGCCACGGCTCCAGCAGGCTCTGGTGGATGGCGGCCAGGGGCTTCGGATCACAGCAGCTGATGCTGATCTCCGTGCAAGGTGCCCTGGAGGCCGGGGTCCTCTGCTCGACGCGTGTGGTCCTGTGCATCAGCTCTCTGCAGCGTGGCCTGGAGCAGCGCTCTCATCCTTTGGTTTTCCTTGGAGGTAGACTGCCAAACAGCCTCCAGCTCGCCTTCCATTTCTCTGAGAGCAATAGACAAAACCAAGGAAAAGCTTACAATAGCACAATTGAGAAAATATTCCGCAGGGTCCTTACAAGTCCCAGAGTAGCAAGTATTCGAGAAACACTGCTTAACTGCAGAGAACTGAGCCTGCTGTGCTTCTGTTCTGGAGCAGGGAGTGGTTGTTGAATGAAGCACCCAGACTCCCTGGAAATAGAAGAAAGTACAAAGGCATAGGCTGCAAAAATGTCTGCTTACTTAAAGCCAGGCATGGTGGTACATGCCTGTAATCCCAGCACGCTAGGAGGCTGAGGCAGGAGGATCACATGTTTGAGCCCTGCTACATCAACTTAGTGACTCAGAGAGACCCTGGCTAAAAAAAAAAAAAAAAAAAAAAAAAAAAAAAAAAAAAGAAGAAAAAAAAAAAACC